GGTAATAGTATGGACAATAACTCGAATGATAGATGGACCGTAGTTATAGATTCAAAAAAAATGATGGTGAAGGGAACTATTTTAGTTCTTCTGAACAAAACTCGCCAAAAACACCGATAAATAAAAACAAAAAAATTTTCTTTACCACTAATCGATACGAGATACTATCTCAAATCGATCAAATCGATCCTGTACAATCATCTTCGAAGTTTCAGTTGAATGATACCCACGCTTCTGATGTTCTCCGAAATCATATCAAATCCATTAACATTGGAACTAAAGCTCCCCTACCCTCACCAATTTTTATTAGGAGCGTAATAGAATTTACCAGCTTGTGCACAAAACTTATTGAATTGATTGTTGTTGATCATTTTTACTGCAAAGCCTCGACTGATCGCCTCAAAATCATGACAGCTAATCCAGAGTCTTATAGAACACTGGACCACTTCTTAAGAGAAGAAAAAGTCGAATTTCACACATTTCAGTTGAAAGAAGACAAGCCTTTACGAGTTGTCATTCGTAACTTACATCCAACTACGTCGACAAAGTTAATCAAATCTGAGCTCGAACAACGTCATTCTATATCAGGCAAGTTTCAAAAGTACTTCACAAGATAAACAAGCACCCATTTCCACTATTTTTTGTGGACCTTTAACCATCCGATCAATCCAATGATATTTTTAAACTTTCGTCACTTCTTCACACAAGTGTTAAAGTAGAAGAACCATATAAACCTAAAATGATAAGTTAATGTACAAATTGTCAAGAATATGGGCACACAAAATCATATTGTGGTTTTCCGGCTCGTTGTGTCCGCTGCAGTACACTTCATACATCGTCGGCCTGTCCAAATTCCCGAGATGTCCCACCAAAATGCGCTCTTTGTTCTGGAGAACACTCATCAAGCTATAAAGGCTGCTCCGTCTACAGAGATCTTAAATGACGAAAAAATTCCAAAACCAAGTAACCAGTTAACTGTTAATTTTAATTCTAAAAATTCTAATGTAAAAGATACCCATTCAGTGAAAGCCTCCTCAATAAACCCTTCTGTCTTGACGCATACGTATGCCCAAGCTACCTCTAACTCACATCCCAACTATACTGATCCACCACTGGATCCAGACATTAACCAAATAATGTCAACCTTCATTGATGAATTTAAGCAATTAACAAATCCTCTAATCGCCCTACTAACTAAAGTAATTTCAAAACTTCTTGACGATAAATAATGTCTTCTCCCACAAACAATTCCCTTCTTATCCTCGTATTCAATGCAAATGGCCTCAAAAATCATGTAAACGAATTACAGCTTGTACTCCAAGAAAAGCGTATTGATATAACTCTAATATCAGAAACACACTTCACCAAATATTCTTATGTTCCTATACTTGGGTACAATCTTTTAAAAACAAATCACCCAGATAATACTGCTCATGGAGGTGATGCGATTTACGTTAAATCCTCCATATTATTTCAAACTCTTCCAAACTTCTGTCAACCTTATTTACAGTCTTGTGCCATATTACTACATCCAAATAACATACCAACTACAATAGCAGCAATATATTCCCCGCCACGTTATGGTTTAACTACCCAAAATTATGTCCATTTCTTTAGCGCTCTTAGTCATAAATTTATAATAGGCGGTGACTACAATGCCAAACATCATAGTTTGGGCTGTCGTACGAATAATCCTAGAGGCGTGGTCCTTCATAACTTTATAAACCAAAAAGGCTACAATATTCAAGCTCCACCAGGTCCAATATACTGGCCCACCTCTCTACGCAAAAAAACCAGATATTTTAGACATTTTTGTTATAAATACACCGTATAACATATTCTACATGACTATTAATCATCTTGAACCCACCTCGGATCACTCAGCAGTACTTCTGACTGCTAGTGCTACTCCACCAATCCGTCCTTCACCCCCTAAACTGTTTCACCTAACCTCTGATAAAAGAAAATTCCATGACTTGGTCAACCAAAACATTAACCTCAAGGTTAGCCTAAAAGCCACCCAAAAAATTGATGATGCCGTAAATAAGTTTATAAATATAATCCAAACAGCAGCGGGGGATGCTAACACTACACCTAAACCGCGTAAAAAACTATTCTCCTTCAATTCCTGAACACATTCGTCTCTTAATAACTAACAAGCGTAGAGCACGGGCTCTGTATCAACGCACTCGTCTTCCCTCTCACAAACGAAACTTTAACAATCTAGCTAACTCTTTAAAGAAATTTCTGGCCTATCGCAAAAATTAAGACTTTGCCGAATATCTCTCAAATCTGACACCAAATAATGGTAGTCTTTGGGCTGCCACAAAAAAGTCCCTTCAACGTAAAGTTGCGAATATCCCACTTATAAATCCAGTCGGTGGGCTTGCTGTTTCAGATGCAGACAAAGCTGAATTGTTTAAAAATCACTTTGCTCAAATATTCACCCTACATCCCGACATACAAGAACCCCAACATACAATTTTAGTTAAAAATTACCTTGATAGCCCTCTCCCTGTCTCTCTTCCTACTAAACACTTCATCCCAAATTATGTTAAATTTGCAATATAAAAATATAGTCTTAAAAAAATCCCCTGGTTACGACTTAATTACAGCGGAGGTTGCCAGGTGTCTTCCAAAAAAAAGCAATTATTCTGCTCACGGTTTTATTTAATGCTTCTTTAATGACTTAGTTTCCACAAATTTGGAAATTTTCAACTATAATTATATTTCCGAAACCGAAAAAGCCTCCTATTATCAGCCTAATATTCCCTCCTCCTACAGAACTATAAGTTTTTTACCATTTTTTGCAAAAATTTTCGAAAGACTTGTCCTAAAAAGAATTTTACCATACATTACTTCCAATAATATTCTGCCAAACACTCAATTCGGGTTTCACGCGTCTTATTCCACAACTCATCAACTATATAGGTTAGTATATGCCATATCATTTTCTCTCGAAAAGAAAAAATACTGTTCCTCCGTATTCCTGGATGTATCCCAAGCATTTGATAGGGTCTGGCATGAGGGTCTACTGTACAAACATAAATGTTTCCTACCTCCAACATACTATCTACTGATCAAATCTTATCTTACCGACCGTCATTTTCAATATAAGTTTGACTCGTCCTTCTCAAACGTTGCTGATATTAATGCAGGAGTACCACAAGGTGGTATACTTTCTCCGATATTATATAATATAAATGCTGCAGATCAACCTTCTTTTCCATACACATCAGTTGCCGATAAGGCAATTATGTCAATACACGATGACCCACAAACTGTCTCTTCAAATCTCCAATCCCACTTTGAACTAATGTCAAACTGGTATAAAAAAAATGGCGAGTTAAGGTCAATCAATCGAAGTTCATACATACAACTTTTACTCTTCGCATCTATCCTTGTCCTGAAGTTTCTCTTAGCAACATCACAATCCCATCAACCTAATCAGTAAAGTACTTAAGTCTAATTGTTGATCGCCGCCTTACCTGGGCACCCCACATCAAATCAAAAAAAACTCGTCCTAAATGGACGTCTTCGCTCGCTTAAGACATTAATATCTAAAAAACACACTAAATTAGACACCAAATTACTCATATACAAATCTTTAATCAAGCCAATGTGGACTTATGGCCTCCAACTCTAGGGCAATGAAAAAAAATCTAATATAAACAAAATACAAACCTTTCAAAATAAAATCCTACGCACAATCACTAATGCCCCCCCCCCCATATGTGTCCAATTCTACTTTACACACTGATTTAAAAATAACAACTGTTCACGCTGAAGCAGTTATGTTCTATAAACGTTTTCATAACAGATTCTCCTCCCATCCCAACCCCCTCATTTCAAATCTAGCCAATCGTACAATTCCTGGTAATCCCTCAAAAAGACTTATAAGAAACTGATGCAGAGACTTACTTAATGAATAAAAGAAAAAAAAAATTATTAAGAAATAAAAACAAATTCAAAAAAGGTAGTGTTATCATTGGATGGCTTCTTTCCTCACGTATTTCATGTTAAAAAAAAAAAAATCAATTATCACATATTCTTATTGTGCCTACGGACAATTATTATAGCAATAGCAATAAGAATAATTAAATCGTTCAATCGAGATAGATTAATTAATTTTGAACTATCATCGTTATGAACAGTGCAACCATGCAACCATACCACTACAATATTTATGATGGTTAATTTTTATTTATCAAGAGTGCAGTACTGATCACGATTTAAGATATTACTATCTTAAATCGTGGTACTGATTCAGTGATTCGCGCAGATTTTGAATTGAATATTAATATATTTATTATTTATATATATTGTTATGCCAATTTTTATTATTATTGTAATAGTATTTATTTATATTAATGTAATGTATAAAAATAATTAAAAAATAAAAGACATAAATATTATTAACATTGTTATTTTTATTTGTTTCATTTATATATAAAATTAATACACCTTATTTTGATAAAACACAGATTATATTGGTTGGTTCCGTAATATTTACTAATATTATCTATTAAAATATGATAAAATGCATAAAATAATATAATTTTGAGTATGTGAGAGAGTGGGTGGGTGGGTAAAATTATTTCTTGCTACACCTAAAAAATATATCTTGGGCGCCATTGTATATAACTATACACTGATTTCTGTATGAATAGGATCTATAAATATCATGGAATTTTTCCTGTGGTTCTTTTTGTTTATTTTTCATATTAAACATTACATTTCTAATTTGCCATTTATTTTTATTTTATTATATTATTTTTATTTTAACAACTTATTTAATATTGACTATTGAGTACTTTAATAGTAATAATAATTAAAAATAATTTAAAAAGTAATAATAAAAACTTAATACTCTAATATTAAATACTAAATGCATTCCAAAGGTAAATATTATAAATTTTATATATTAAATATTAATACTAAACATAACTCTAATGCATAAAAATCACTAGTGTGTTCATTATACAATTCATTACGAAAATATGCCATACTACAGAGAAAGAACTTCTGAATTATGGAATCATTTTGAGCCTGTAGAAGGTGATAAAGCTAAATGTGACTACTGCAGTATGAAATTGAGTACTGCAGGTGGAAGCTTGAATAATCTAAAAAGGCATTTGTTAGCAAGGCACCCAACAGTGACTATTAATAGGAACGAATCTAATCAGCAAAGAGGTACTTTCATTTCTTTATTTGTCATGCTTAATAAAAATAATAATATTATTTGAAAATTTAAAAAAGTTTTAACTTAAATGTCAACTTTGTAATCAACTTATTAATATTTTAGAGCTGCCTCATACTGAACATGATATACAAACAAGCAGTACCTCAACTATTTCTTTTAGTTCACCTAACGTGACACAGACTAGTTTAGTTATGGCTTCCATTCTATCGTCAGGTACATCTGAGTATTTTCAACAGCCACTTAATCGTCCACGTTCCCAAACACGAATGACTGACTTTGTTTAACAATGTCGACCACTTTCAGTAACTAAAAAAAAACAATTAGATGAACAACTTGCTAAAATGATTGTGAAGAGGTAATACATACTTTTAGTATACCTGGTATGTTTGATAAATATATATATTGTATAATTTTTTTAGATATTATCCATTTGCACTTGTTGAAGACCCTGAATTCAAAAAATTTTTAAATATGTTAAATCCTTCATATACATTGCCAAGTAGAAAGACCGTATCTAACAATATTATACCAAGACTTTATGAAAGTTCCAAGAATGATGTGCAACATTTAATTGATCAAACTATAGCTGTGTGTCTAACAACAGACTGTTGGACTTCAAAGGAGAACACAAGTTTTATGGCCACAACAGCTCATTTTTTTTGATATAAACACACAATTGAAATCTTTCTGTCTTGACTGTACAGAATTTGATGTACGACATACAGGTGACAATATAAGTGAAAAACTTATTACAACTATGAGAAATTGGAATATTACTCATAAAGTAACAGTTATTGTCAGTGACAATGCTGCCAATATAACAAATGATATTCAAAAGACTGGGTATCGTTAGGTTTCATGATTTGCTCACACATTGAATTTGGTTGTCCAGAATGGTCTTAAGCATATTTCATCTATCACCCAGAAGGTTAAAATTATAGTTGAATACTTCAAGCGAAGCCATCATGCATTAGCTAAGTTATATGCCACTCAAGAACAGATGAATCTTCCAAAATTGAAACTCACACAAGATGTTGTCACTAGGTGGAACTCCACTTTTGATATGTTGCAAAGGTTTGTCAAAGTGAAGGACGCTATAAATTCTACATTGGCAGTTCTTCAGGCAAATGTAGATATGTTGTCTTCAGAAGAATGGATAATTGTTGAGAAAGCTTCAGTAGTTCTAGAAATATTTTATGATGTGACAAATGAAATCTGTAGTGATCAATATGTCACATTATCAGTTGTGTTGATTTTTACTAGTGCCATTTTTGAATCTATGAAAATGTATGAACAAGATATTACCTTACCAATTGAAATAAAAGAAATGGTATCTACCTTGAAACAACAAACAATTTCTCGTTTGAAACCACTGGAAGACAATGATCTTGTTACACAGGCTGCACTATTGGATCCACGCTATAAGAAATTGGCATTTTCAAATGTAAGTGACAACAAATATACCAATGCTCTTAATAAATTAAAAAATTAAGTATGTTCCATACAAATTGAAGATGTTAATAATTCCATTAATGAAAATCCACAACAAAGTGATGAGTCTACTTGTATCAAAAGTTCACTGTTGTGTAAATCATTTGATGAACAATACAATAGACAGAAAGCTTCACATAATCCACAGGCAGCTGGAATTATAGAAGTTGATAAATATTTGAATGAGCCAATTTTAAATAGGCATGAAAACCCTCTTACCTGGTGGAATAGTAGGAAGTCTCAATATCCACGTTTATATAACTTAGTCTTAAAAAGATTATGCATTGTAGCTACATCTATTCCGTGTGAGAGACTCTTTAGTAAGGCTGGAATGACATTAACTGAACAAAGAAACCGAATTAAACCAAGCAAAGCGTCTCAAATACTTTTTTTAAACCAAAATCTTTAGTTTGCAATATATATTATTTATTAAATTATATATCTATTATCTACCTATTATAGTGTTACTTAACAGGAAAAAATTAACAAGGAGTTAATAGCATAGAATATTAGAATTATTAGTAATTACCAATAGATTAGGTAAGATAAGATAAGATATTTCAGTTATAAATTATAATATAGGTAATCATTATTATTTATTATATTTGTACTTTATATTTATATTAAGTTGAACTATATAAATATTTATTCAATGTGGTTTTTTTTTTATATATATTTACTAGGAACTTAAATATTTATACATAATGGTAAATAAATACTATTTATTTTTAATATATTATGTTATATTTTATTAACTAACTAGCTGAATTACCCGTCGTTGCCGGGTTTAAGTATATAAATGTATGTAACCGGCCAAGATTAAATTTTGTTAAATCTATTGAAATTTAAATTAATTAAGATTTTTGAAATAATATTTTATACATATTCGATAAGTTATAGCTTACAACTTCCTGAACCTCTCTACAGTTTGGTATTCTGTTGAATACATATAGCATCTCACTTCTCCGAATATTTTACCTTTTGTCAATAAGTTCATAGTCTTTTTGTCTTTTAACCGAAACACTCTTGCAACTATATCATGTCGATCATATGATCTTTGACCGGGAAGTAAAAGCTCTTTTATCTCGTCCCAGCGAGGATTACATGTAAAAGTAATAAAAAGGTCAGGACGACCGTAATGTCTAACGTAGGTCATAGCATCTTGTGTTCTTTCGTACATGTACCTTGGCCCACCAGTAAAAGTTGACGGGAGCATAACCATTTGGCCTAACTGATTAGCTTCTATGTCTCGTCATCCAATCGCATCTTTTAAATGAATATAACTATCTGCACGCAATTTGGCTTGGTTGTTTTTTGATGTAATTTAGTCTTTCAGTTTCAATTTTGGCGTATTCATCTACCAAATATTGACTGAAAAGAGAACGATAATTAACTAAATAGTTGTCTTCCCCTTCTCTGACCATTATTCTATATGAGTAAAAACTTTATGCAGAGACAGTTTTTTTAAGCAGTAACTTGGTTTTTGGATCGCGTTGTGGTATATTGATTGCATACCCATCATCCCCCCAACAAAAAATTAAAGGATACTGCAGTGCGTCGTATGCTCGATGTATCTCACTGATACGGTGAAGTGAGTTACTTCGGTTTTCGAGGATGATGTCTCTTCGATCAAACTGCTGATCTACTAACACTAAAGCAACTTTATTTGCCGTTGGTGCATTATACCTACCTCTATGTTCTTCTGATGGTTTTTTATCTGCATGTATTACAACTTTAAATGACTCTGAAGGAGGTATTTTATCGATGGTAAATTGTTATGATCAATTGTAAATTATGCGGTGGCATGCCTAGTAAATCCAATGAGTTTAAAAACTCTGTTGGATGATTTACAACTTCAGTAGCATCGCAAACTGTATCTAGATTTGTATGACACCAAGTTTTCTGGTAACAAATTTTGTATCTTGAGATTCAATTCGTTGACCTCCACATTTTTTGCTACTAAAATTGCTCTTTCTGCCAGCCACTCATGATTTGTGTATTGTCTGTGTACACTGGGACATATCTGGTCAATGAGAGCATCTTGCGAATAAATGATTGAGCAGAAATCGTTCGGTACTTTTATACATCCCGTTTCATCTCTTTCCCATCTCCAATATCTAACAATTGTTTTGAGAATCTTTTGCACGCAGCTTTTTTTGATTGAATCGAAATCGAAGTATCGAAATCGTTCGCTATCTATCTTTATATATATTTTGACCATGAATTGTTGACAAAGCTTATGCATCGTAAAATAACTTAGTCCTGATCGCGTCTAATCATCAACCAATATGCATAATAATTTTTTTGAACTAACATTCTTATTTGTTTTGGCACCTGTTGCGGGATCTTTTTGTTTAATATTTATGCAATACCCGTCATTTACTACCAAAAATAAAATTAATAGTTTTTAAATAGTTTTTAATAGTTTTTTAATAGTTTTATTTAATATAATTCATTTTCAATAGCGCAGTTATCGACCTGGTCAAAAAATATTAAACCGATTTCAATCCTTTAAATTCAAAATTTCGAAAAATCCTTTTTTATCGCACGTCTACATCATAATAGCTATCTGTATGCCAAATTTCAGCCAGATCCGTTCAATGGTTTGAGCTGTGCGTTGATAGCAGTCAATCAGCTTATTGTTTTATATATACAGATTATATATAATATATATGCTACTAGCTGTCCCGACACGGCGTTGCCCGCGTATTAGTTGGTTTTTTGGCATTTTCGTAGGCCATGTATTAGTGTTATTATGTATGAGAAAATTTAAAAGTAATAGGTAAAGTATCTAAATGTTGAAATTAAGTACAAACCAACATATATATTTTCTGAATTTACGTCATACCGAACTTCGTATTTTATACCTTTGAACATTTCTCGAAAATTCTATAACTTTCTTCATTACAACAATTGCAATGCAAAAAATAATATTGAGATAAAAACTATCCTATATATTTATTACAATAATTGTAATGCAAAAAATAATATTAAGATAAAAACCATAGGTTAGGTTAGTTATATAATTCTCGGAACAATTCATATCTACACGCCGCCGACGATAAAACACAAACAATAGAAAAAAGGTCAGATTACAGGTAGCTATATAGATACTGTCGCGGTCGGTCATGGGAAAACCCGAAATACACCATGCAATTATACACATTTATTAAAAAGTTAATTAAAATATTTAAAATATTAAAAAATTTGAAAAAAAACTATCCTATATTTTAAGTTGGACCAAATTACACACGGTGTAAAAAATTGCATCAAAATCGGTTCAGTAGTTTCGGAGATTATCGCGAACATACATTGTGACACGAAATTTTTATATATACAGATATTCTTGTATTTTTGTATAGGTAAGCCATACAAGTTTATATTTATATAAATTATTATTTTTTTCGTATAAACAAAAAAAGTAGCTAACTTATAAATTTAATATTTTCTAGATACCTACCTACGAAATCCGAATTGAAAAACGAACGGTTTCAGTGAATCCAACTTACAAAAAAAAGAATCGGACGAACGACGACCCGTTCGTTCGCGAACGACACATTTCTAATTCAGTCAATCCGTGTATCGTTCAGTGAACGATAAATGAACGAACTACTATACCTAACTGAACGAAACTTCAAGTTCCCAATTTCCCATTCCCAATTAAACAGAACTACGAGATATACATTACATAAGCCATGTACCGTTCAGTGAACTAGTTCATTGAACTAGTTCAATTAAGTGAACGATGAACGAACGAACTAGTTCACTCAACTGAACGAAACTTCCCATCCCTAGTCTGACCAGCCGGTATATATATATATATCAGCGTCGATTGTCTAGAACATTCTCGAAATTACCTTAATAAGATAATGATCGCATATTCTAGAACATAGGATTTCCCTTATCCACTAACAATATTGTAAACAACTTGGACGATTCGTGGTGCGTTGTTTACGTCACCACACTATATTTAATCAAATCGTCAAATGTCCGTAATCACTTAAGAATGAATAAAACAAAAAAGTATAAAAATTACCCCGCACACGAACTCGTATGTCAACACTTGCTCGCAATGAATTTCACAAGTCTACAGTGCTGGATGACGACAATGAATTAAACCACGTTATTCACAATCGCCGCTAAAACAAGGGGAACTATATAATAATAAACAAAATGACAATAAACTACGCAAAACGACACTTACCAAAAGACTGGTACAGCACAAAAGTGAACGAAAACGTGGTTTTTTAAAAAAGGTTGTAAACGGACGATGAGTTCACAAACTTTACGAGTACACACGGACCAAACGATAGAGAACGAGTCGGTGCCAATGAAATCTACGAAGGCTATGGCCACCGGACAACACAATGAAGACAAATACTTCAGTGTCAACACCTTAAGACTAAAATACGAGGACTTATGAAACTTTGTGACACTGAGACGATGGCTTTAACTTAGACTGAAACATAACCAGACTTATGTTGTGTAACCAAATTGTTGGATTGGATCTTATGGGTTACTACAATAGCCACCTCGATCCCCGGATCATAGACCATTAGACTACTTTTGTCTACTTTTTGTAGGAATATCTAAAAACTGTTGTCTATGCTGACCCACCTACCAGACTTATGCACCTGAAAAATAAAATAAATGCGGCATGTATTCAACTTTCCAAAGAACAAATTTCAAGTGCAACAATAAGAAAAAATAGAGAATTTCTATGAAGGGCTGAAGTATGTATAAATTTTAATGGAGAATAATTTAAACAATTCATAAGATAAACAAATGTAATTTTTAATCGACTAAAAAAATTAATTTAAATCATTAATTGTGTTTTTTTTTAATTACCTATAGAGACAAATTATAATAGAGAAAAATGTTGATATGAGGAAAAGATTATCCCTCCCTTAAAGTACACCCTTATATCATACATAATTAAATCTAATGGCAAATGAAGAAGCTCCCACATGTGAAGTTTGTGGTATTGAACTGACTATAAAGCATATAATAACCGAATGCCGTAAATATGAACGTGAACGTCAAAACTTCAAAATAGACCTAATCCTGGACAATGTAATGGGACCAAAAACCAAATATAACACTTAAGTGATAACCTTCTCACAAATTAAAAACTTGTACATGATTTAAAAAAAAAAAAATGTATAAAAAATGCATATACTGTAACTAATGGCCATAGATGCTGAGTTCATTTTCTTTGATACCAATAATTAAATCTAGCAATAGCAAAACATTGCCGAATTAGCAAATTGCACATATATTCAACGTTTTAAATATAATGAGCGCAGAGATAATTTTTTTTGATGCTTGATTGTAACGTAGAACTTGTGTAAATGTAAACTAATATAATTACTTCGTGTGTTAATTTCATGTGCATATCAGCCGTGAAAAAATGAGTGTTAGTTATTTACGAATGAGATGTGATTGTTGATCTTTTTTTGATTAATTATTTTGTTTAAGTTATTTGTTATTCTAATCAGCCTATTGAATAATTCGATGTGTCAATTTAGAAATTTAACATTATGTTACTATTAGAAGGATTATAACTTCTAAGAATATTCAAACAACTAATTTTATTAGTTAATTATCGAATCGCTAATCGACGATGGGGCGTAGAAGTTACCATTTCAAATAATCGAAAACATAAGTTAAATCTTATATGTTAAAATAAATTATAGATTTGTGACATTTCGATGTGCAAAGAAGACGATGACTGAATTTGCATAATTTAAGCTCAACTAGCTTCCGTTTCTTCGAAAGTTTCAAAGACTGAATATTTATTTTTATATTATAATCATTACGGGAAACATACTATATTCAATATTTTAGGTAATTTTATGTAATTTTGAATTAATGAATATATTAATGTATTTATATAATCATTTATTTTGTATTAAAGTATATTCTTAGTAAGATATTATAATCTTTCTATTTCATTGTTATACCATTCATACCTATACCTAATTAAAAAAAATATAACATTTGAAAGGTAAAAATCGTATAGTATTAAAAAGTGTTTTTTTTAACTAGAAAAAAAAATAATATAATTTTAGAATGAAATACAATTGATTATATATAATATAATTAATTTACTTTTAATTTTAATATTTTGTGTATTTATTATGTATGAAATTATTATAATTTATAAGATGAACATGAAAGGTAAATTCTTTCGTAGGTCAATAATTTTGAACAATTTAATAGGGCTAAAAGTCTTAGGTAAAATAATTAATCTGCAATATCATAGTCCGCCTTTGTCTCTAAAATATTAGTGATTTTCTAACTATGGTATATTTATGTATAGTTTTTGCGTTATTGCAATTTTAAAAAACATAAGAAATTTAATGTTGGTACAATTTATAATGACGAAAAATGTTTGTATCATATCAGTATTATTTTTTTAAGCTCTTATTTTCTTAGTCCTAACTATCAATTAGGTAACCAACTACTGGCGCTTTTTAAATTATTATTCCAGTATTGATATAAATACCACCGGAACCGGATAACGTACATATGTCATTGACCTTGAGAAGTGTGATAAACCAATAAGTTACATTCGTTATTATTTTTATTTTTCCTTAAAATAATACGTATATTATTATCACTTCCCCCATCTGGCTAGTACAGCAGTCTTAATATCAATATATCATTACTTTATACTTGCTCCATTATTAGTTTGTTGGCTGACAATTTTCACTCAAATTTAAAACTTTCAAATTAAAAAAATTGAAATTTAAAAATTATAAAATAAGAATGAAAATGTTGAAAACTTAATCTTCGAAAATAACTGTTTTAACTTCAAAGGTTTTGATTTTCCAACGTTCGAAAAATATCAAACATAATGATAAATAAATGGTATTTCCTCAGAAATTGATTTTTTACATGTTCATTGTACATATTATATTATATTTTATTAATCATGTTGTAAACTCCTGTTCATTTTATTTTAGTACGTATTTTATTCTGTGTATAATTTGTAAACAATGGCTAGAACGTACGAAACACGATACAACCTTGTTCTACTTAAAAGTTCTATCCTTAATTTTAATTAAATAATATTATTTTGTAAATGATAACTAATATGGACGAATCACTACCCAATATTGTTCTATTTTAAACTGAAGAGTCCCGAGAAAGAACCAGGTAACTCCAATTTTGTTCGTAATTCATTTTTGTACATTATCTGATAATGGAAAATTTTTTCTACAGTTTTGTGCAATAACTATATAAATCCATCGGCCAAATAGGCTAATATCATACAAAAGGATATAACTGATTTTCAGATTTCGATCCACATTTTTCTTGGTTTTTGTTAAAAAATGTACTTAAAATTATGTAAAATATAAATCTATATACAGTCGAGTCTCGATAACTCAAACCTCGATTACTAGAAAACCTTGATAAATCGAATTCTTTTTCTGTCCCCCGGAAATTCCTATACACACAATGTAATATTTGTCGTGATAAGTCAAATGCAAAAATTATTGACCATAGATAACTCAAAAACAGTTATGACAAATATATCTTAAATTTTATCATTAGAATAAACCGTTTTAATGAAATTATCATTATATACTACTTTGCTGTAAAATAATCAATATTTGTTTATATAACAATTGCTGAAAAATTTTAAAAATAAGATTAAAAAATTAAAATAGTTATCTAAGGAAAAAGAAATCAAATATATTCATGTAGAAGGCTATGATAGAGATGTAATATATAGATGATATGATAGAAGTTCCGATTGAAAAGTTATAATAGATCATTATTAGTTAGAACCAGAAATTACTTTCAAACATTTACTGAAATAGATACTAATATATATAACTAGAGTATTAAATAATCAAGACATTACAAATGCAATTCAATCGATTTCTAAATCTGACTTAGACGAAAATGAAGAAAAATATGAATATTCAATAGTTTTCTTACTTAACAAACTTTTATTTCAAGTTATTTTTCTTAAATTGTAAGAGTTATACATATATTGTGTTTTAAAATGCTATCTTATAGTAAATTTGTAATTAATAAATATTTTGGAAATGTGTTTCAAAATGTATTATTCTAATTGTAATTGAAGTTAATAAATACACATATAATAATAGCTATACGAAATTTGTTCAAATTTTTAAAAAAAAAATCGAGTTATGTTACTCAAAAATACATAAACCGAATACATTTTTACCTCCCTTGAAATCGATTTATCGAGATTCGACTATACTAATATTTATATGTATAGTAAACTCATCGCATGGAGAATTTAAATCTATTTTAACAATATTTTCATACCGCCAATAGAAATTTAATTATTTTGTTCTTTATGCATCTTGAACAATTTTAAAAAATGAAGATCCCTAGTTCTTGTTCTGAACCTTTCAATTGTTGTCCTCGACAATTTTGATATAATAATACATGCTTAGGGACCACGGTCGCCGGAGAGCGAATCAGTCGTTACCTAGAGTCATCGTATCTAAAAGTCTCTTTCAGAACATCCATATGTTTTTATTTGTTCGTTTATTAGTTTATTTATAAAATAAAGTTTAACAGTGCCAGTAGTAGTCGATTATTTAACTAGTTGACACGGCTCACAACAATATCATTATTCATGGGAAACATTTAAAATATCTAACGATGAAAAATAAATAACTCCTGTTATCGGCAACGCACTACCGATCGGTATTGCTTTTAGTGTTAATTTAATTCACTCACTTTTAAGACGTGCTCTCCGATGACAGTCTGTTGACGTCAAAACATTGATTACTTATGACCTTAGATCATTAACAAATTAGGAGACCGACATTACTACAGGGCCCGATGAATATGTGGATACGCGCACTTAATAGTGTATGTGCTATTGGATCGTGTTCCTATTATCGTGTTACTTCAATTGAACTGTCGAAAGTTAAAAACCTGTTATGAAATATTGATATGAATGCATGCGTACATGTAATAGGTTCAACAGTTATATAAAAGTTAAATGTTGATTTCAGCTAGTCCAGCTCTTTTGACAGTAGTGATGAGCAAATGGCTCTATCCAATGTACACAATCGAAGGCTTCACCGTACTAATGCACCAGCACGGCCGTAATGACGCGCAACTTCTTCCTCGGCGTTTTGTCGAACCTTCGGATTGTTTGAATCCTTTTATCGGCTGTAAAAGTTGTGCCGTTTACGACACATAGACACTGCGAAACGGCTAAAATTACATAGAGCAAACTCTCTAGAAAAAGTTTTACATTCGCTCCGTGAAAATGTTTTTTAAATAAAATTAAACGCAACCATCGTAAAATATGTGCATTCGTTGTTTCAATAGAATTTAAAAATAATACAATTTACATTTTACCGTATTTTAATACACAGTTCGGGAAACCAATATAAAAACAAAAAAAACGGTGTATTGAATTTTAATTCGAGTACAATACGATTGTAAAACTTTTGCAGAGCAAAACCAAATCACGTACATGCCGTGCCACGTTTTACTAAAAAAAAAAATAATAAATAAAATTATTCTACCGTCAAGCAACGGTTTTTATCTATTTAATTGTATCGAACGATATGACAGTGCGCAGTTGTGCTAATCGTAAATCAAATCTATCTTACAGTCAGTGTAATAATGTATGAACGTTTATTTTTTCTTCGATAAAAATTAAATCCACGAACGTGCAGCGCTGTTTCCAGCGATTAAACGGCGCAATGCGATCGACGTTGCGTATTCGTTGCGTGCTTTTTAGGCGGTGGACATGCGACGGCACCAACGACGGCCCCACAACGGTGAAACGTATTATTTATCGTGACGCAGACGCGCGACGGTGACGGTCGAGGGGTACGGTATTATTTTTCCCGCCCCACATAATTTTTTTTATCGCGCGACCAATAAAGCCGGGGCCCAAGGATACGGTGAAAAACCAACGCAAATGTTTTGTACAGAACAAAAAAAAACACGCCAGTACGAACATTTCACCGACAGACGACGACGACGACGATAATGTATTCCACAGCGGCCCCAAGGCACACGACGATGTACGCGTCGCGGATGTTTCAACGTACAATATCGTGTTATATTACATTATTACAACACATTATCGCGCTGGCGTAGGCGGTCCGTGACCCGACGGCCGCGCGTATAGGGGACGATAACGGTGCCGGCGAATTATGATAATTACCACGCACATCACGGGATACGATATGGTATCCGAAACGCTCGCGCACGACGTTAAAACTGTCCGACGGGCGCGGCGCGCACACGTACCGCGGACGGACGACTCTACAACGGCGGCGCCCGCATGTGACCGGGTACGTAACAACAACGGTTACCGCGACCACGGCCGTATCTGCACGGTATACCTGTTCGAGTTTCTTTCCGAACTGACCGCCGCCGCCGAACCGGTGGGCGGGAAACGGGTAGTGCGGTAGATAAGGAGCCAGAGCGCGCGCCCCCAGGACATGTGCCTCGCGCTACTGTTGTTCATGGGCAACGCGATGACGGGCGTCGGTCGCAAAACGGTCGAGTCGGCGGACCGCGGCGGTGGTGTTGTTGTTGACCGCCGGCAAAACGAAATCATGGACGAGCTGACCAAGGACGTGGAGCGCCTGAAAGCGATGATGGATGAACGGGACCGGACCATCCAACAGCTGAGCCGGACCGTCGACGACATTCACGTGAGTGCGACAACCCTATCGTTTTTCACGTTCATTGCACACTCGTATACGAGTATAGGGTTGTTATGTTTTTAATGATTTACGGGAATACGGTGGTATCTCACATCCGGACCGAACAAACGATTGTTCCGATACGTGATTCACGTGTTTTTTTTTTTTGTGTTCGCTTCATGGCGGTCTCTTTCCTTCCACTGGACGCACTTACTCCGGTTGGATACGTGTCTAACCTGCGATATCCACTGAAATGTGTACGGTTTTCAGTTTACCTATTACTTTTTTTTTTCGACCCATCGGCTATATTGTACATTCCCTAAAAACTATGGATCAACATATGACAGGAGTTAATAATTTGAACACTAAACCACTTGTTTTTGTGTTTTCGTAGTGTTTTCCTTTTTTCTCTATCCCGGTCTTCGATAACCCCAACTAACAGTCGTCCGGTTGTTGGAAAATATTCTCTTAAATCATCATCACACGCTCTACACAGGTACCGTTGGGGTTCAATTATAACAGCACAAAAACATTTATCATCTCCAAAAACCAATCTATATGCATGTATAACTCGGCATCTGTTTGTGGAAAAATAGTTTTCGCACGCACACACAGCAAGTCGTTGCTACTCGGTAGTCGTTTACGCGCAATTTTTGCGTTTGAAACTCGTCGAGAGAAAATCGATCGACTAGCAAAGGTTTTATTTCTATTATTTTTTTTTTAATTCGTGAAAATGCGTGCACGAAATACGAATAACATATTTTACCGTTCTGCATGCGTATAATATCATGAACGGTCATGCAGGTAAGTATATAGCTACACAGTTTAGTAGTTATAGTAATACACCGTTGTTGTACACCAATGTTATACATGTTTGTAAAATTAGTGTAAAACAATATTTTCCGTTCTGGTTCAAACCATTGAAAACTATATCGAAGAAAAAAATAAAACGCAACGTTATATTATATTTTCATCACAGCATTGTGTTATACACATTATTAAGTGATGAATGTTTTATCGCGTACGAAACTCGTGCTTTATCCTGTGGTCGGCTGCCGCGGTTATAATAATATACAATGACGTCAGAGTACGACACAAAGACACTTCCTGGCGCGTATATCTGTTGTGGCGCCGACTTGCAATTAATCCACTTGGGATGTTAAATTCAAATGTTTAGAGCCAGGCGATAATAATCCTGCGTATGATACATATGACAGTACCTTAAGTCGATCACAATATAGTCTACGCGCATTAATATAGACCAGAGGTGGCCACCCCACTAACCATAATTTCGAGAGTTGCAAACGTATAAAGCTAATTCGAAGCGAGCCACATTGCTAAGAGATGTTTATAAAATAAAAACACATTATTAATTTTATTATTTTATTCTATATATATTTAACTATTATTAAAATTATTATTAACATTATTAGAAGAATTATTTATAAGGAGTGCTTTTTTCAAGTGTTGATTTTTACTGTTAATATTTTAATTAAAACAATATCTAACGGATTATTCTAATGGAATTATGTTTATTAATTTTACTTTAAGTTTGGTTTGAAGAGTCGCACGAAACTGATTAAGAGTCGCATGCGGATCGCGAGTCTCGTTGTAGCCTCGTTGTTACCACCCTTGATATAAACCGAAGGAAAATAGAAATCAACGGCTAAAAAATAAATAGTTTCGTATTATTTTTGTTATCTTGGAAATATGTTTATTGATGCGCGTATGAGGTGGTTAAATAAAACAAATATCGATTATAAGATTAAATTTAATCCAAACTTTAAGCCCAAGGTCACAGATATCTCGCTCGTCACTATAAAAATTAAGGGTAGCAAGCAGTTATTAGTAACAACGGGTCAAAATATTATATTATGACCACAAAACTCACATGGTCGGATGTGCTTTTTTTGCGTAGAATATGGTGTCGAATCAAAGTCTCTTACCACCCTCACAACATCGGCTACATGACAAGAAGAAAGGGGTATCGGGAGAATGTTCGACTTTAACGGAAGCTGCACAGTTGCCGTTTCCTAAACAATCCAAACCCATCAAGTACGACTGTAGTACTAAAAAAAAAAATATGAAATTGACTATCGATATATATATATATATATTTATTCATATATGTATAACACGTTTACGGTCTGTTTCCAGAACTAAACATCTAATTAAGCAAGCGTTATGTAAAAATCCATTTTTGAAAAACCTGAACACCGCCCAGATTTCCGAGATAGTAGACATTATGTACCCGAAAAATTTTGAAGCTGGAGCTTACGTCATTCGAAAAGGCGATCCGGGTAAGTGATATACCATTTTCGTCTGAACAACGATATTAAATTAATCTGTAAAATGCTAGTTCAAATTATTCCGTAATCGTCGTAAAACTACCGAGTAAACTTACTGTATTATATAGTTAGCGGTTATCGAGGCCAGAGCCGTAAACGGAAGAGGCTACATCCCAACCAGTGGCGATTCGTGCTTAGGTGGGATCCTTACGTAAATGTGGGTTATAGGTTAACAGATTTAATACACATATTAAATACGATAAATAATCACGAACATTTGTTTTCATTTTTTGGAACACCCCTCTCAAAATTATAGAAATTTGGTCCCACCTCCCTGTAAAATTACTATGAGCTGCCACTGAACCCAACACAAAATAATATAATGCTTTGTGCACTATTTGGACTAATTTTGTACTAATGCAGGATGTTGTCTGTACGTGGCCGACGAAGGAAAGTTTGACGTGATCCAAAGTGGCCGGGTGGTCGATTCAATCGGACTGGGCGAAGTGTTCGGTGAGATGGCCATACTTTACAACTGTCCGCGGACCGCATCGGTGAGAGGTATGTTTTTATCGATAGTGGTCGTCCAATCGACACGCAATAATATTCGTTATTCCTGAAGCACGGCTCTTAATATTTCAGCCGTCCAAGATTCCAGGGTATGGACTCTGGAAAGGATAGCGTATCAGCAAATCATGAAAACTTCAGCCATGCGGAGATTCGACGAGAGGGTGGGATTCCTAAAAAACGTACCACTAATGAAGGATCTCAACGAAGAATTTTTATCAAAAATAGCTGACGTCTTGAAAGAGGTTCGTAAACTATATTATAAATAAATATATAAAACCACTTGAGTTTATAAAATAATATAAAATCAAAACACGCTCAGGATGCGGAATGATTCTCAGAGCATATAAAGAGTTTAAAATCAAAAAGTCTTCGTCCACTTACAATAGAGATAAAGTTTAAACAAAAATTAAGTCTTGTCTATTTATAAAAAATCCGTATACATACAAAGTATATATACCAGGAATGGCCACAACGAGACTGAAGAGTCGCATAGGGCTCTTAAATTAGTTTCGTGCAGCTCTTGAACCAAATTTATATTTTTATATTTACCTGTTATATTATATATGGTAGATAATTTATAGGTTATCTTTATACAACACTGTTTATTATCCATTACCTTATCTGATGCTCCAATGTATTATTTTATATAAGTTATAGTTTATAGTTATATGGTTTTATAAGTTCCATAGTCAAATTTTAAGTTTAGAAATCTGTAATGGTAATGGAATATCAAGTGGGATTTTTCAGAAGATACAAATTTTTCGTATCAAACAGTATTTAATATAAAGATCAACTTGCACTGTTTAGCAATTACATGTATTAATCAGTGTTTGATAAAATAAACATTTAAGAATAACAAATAAATAATAAACAATAATATAGAGAAAAAATCCGGAAACTCGCTCTGCTATATAGTAGGGGTGGAGAGTAGGTCACTATAATGGATGTGTTAAATTTGAATGTAATTTTAGGTATCATTGTACACGAAAAACAGTTCTGGACGGAGATGATTTGTCAGTCTAGACTCTAGGATAACCTATATATATATATTTTGATACAAGTAATTTATTTTTCAAGTTGGATTTAGAACGGGTTGCATAGTTTGGACTTTTTTTATTGACATTTCAAAAAAAATGCTTTGAAAAAATGAAAATTTCAACTGTCTATAAATAGCTTAAAAAAAAGTCTAATTATTTTGAAAATTGAATCGTATATAGATATTGCTAATTTAAACATTTAGTGAAAATATCAAGTATTTAAATTAATACATTTTTGTGTTACAGAAAATAAAAAAAATCCATATTGTCAAAAACTGGTTATGCGTAATAATTCCCGTTTTTCCGTTTAAAACGAGTGTATAATAAAACGAAAAAATATACGTTTACATAGATTTAATTTACATTGATCTTATCACGTCAATATTATTGTTTGCTAAAATAGTTAAATTTATTTCATTAAAATGCATTATTTATACACGTAACACATTTTAAACATTTATTAAAGGATATAAAAATTAAATACAAAGTAAAATTATTTTAACTAAATTTAAAACAACTAAAAATAAAAATAAATAAATGTAATAATACTAATAATACTAATAATGTATTAATAACAATGTAAGTTTAAAACAACATATTATATTATTTGTCATACTATAAGTACCTATATGATGTCCATCAATTTTAAAAGGGTATAAAAATATTATCGCTGACTGTAAAGAAAATTAAAAGCACATTTTAATTGAATATTCCAATTAAATAATGTACGTAATAGCACAAACAGTCCAATATTTTTAAGTTTTAACAATTTTAGTTTTTAAGCCATTAATAAATATATACATGATAATAATTATTAATTCAAAACATAATTTAAATTGTAATAAAAAATAAATAAAAAAAAGGGCATGAACAATTAACAGATGCTGACATTGATTAATAAAAATGAAATAACATTTATAAGCACCTAAATAGATTATCGTCGAGAGTGTTTTACCTTCGCAGCTATTACGGTGACATGTATAATCTAACCATATGGTTTACTTAAAACATAATTTCTCCAAATTAAATAGGTAATATATTTCGTTAATCAAACAATTTCCTGTACACGTACAAAAAAGTAAATACTAACCATAATGTTAATTTGCATGTTCAATTTGGCTATAGCAATAGAATAAACAACCTGAAACAAAATTAAGAAATCATTTTATATAAACAAAAAGGTGAACACGTAAAAATCTTAAAAATATATTCAATGCTATCTATAGTTATTATACTTATATATATGTAGAATTAATGACAAAAATAATAATTAATATTATTCCAACATATTATTATATAATATAATATTTTATTAAAGTATAATTTAATGTACATTCAAAGTTTAAGCTTTAATACTTATTAAAAATCAATCAATAATTAATAATTACTAATTAACACACAATTGAAACTAATGACAATAATTTTTTTTAATATGTTTATATACATTTTTTTTTTTTTTATAAACGCAATTTGTTCAAAATCACAAATCTATATTGTATAACTATGAATTTCAAATTTTCGAAATCGATTTTCAATTGCTTTCAAATTTAATTGAACTTCATCTTTTAATTATATACATAATATATGTATATTACGAGGACGATGTAACCGCTTAGACGAAGAGTAAATCTTTAATTACATTTTAAAATTAGTGCTTAAGTCTTTTCGCAGATGTTATTCATTTCAATTAATTTTTCTTCCATTACTTTTTGACCTCACCAATTTGACTCTAATCAAAAATTCAGATCCTCTTTCGCGTAAAACATTTTCAAGTCTACGCAAAAATGTTAAATTATATAAAACTACTACTACTAATTAAAACCAACGGGATAATAAAATTTTATATTATTTATTTCATGTTACCTCTGGGCAACATATTTTTCCGAAAAAAAACAATTTATTTTCCAATACTTTCATTTGACGTGATAATATTATAACGTATGTTATAATGCGTACGTTATAATAACGTGATCATAATAATATGATTGTTTTTTTTTTTTTTAGAATAAATCCAGGACCACGAGTTTAGCTTGTACATTGTTACCGGCTGTCTTTTGCGGTATTATCGACGTCATCCTCGAGTTTTGTAATCCCGTTAGGCTCGTTTCACACTACACGGTTTTGACTGTACGGCAAAAATCCGGACGGCGATAATATTTTAGTGGCGCGAAGAATAGCATATACGTAGGCTTAGGGACTTATAGCTCTAAAAAATACAGAAATATGCTTCTAAAATCATTGAAATATGCATTATAATATGCATTTATACGCATTAAAAAAAAAAAAAAAAAAAAAATGACCACATAGTACATAAATAAAACGTGTCCATCGGATGTAAATGTATATTTAAACTCCAAAACAAAACTTTGTAGTCAACAACTCGAAGACTGTTGTACTTTTAGCATTACACAATTTTACAAAATATACCCGTACGACGTTTTACGTATGATTCGACGTAGCGTGGTTAGAAAAAACAACGACGGATAATAATCGACTGAACTAAATAAATAATCTACTATTCTATATCGACATTCGGTCGATATTCAGCGGGTTATACGATCGATATGAGTTTATAATATTATTTATACTTACACAAAAATTATAACCAGATATGAGAGGTAATTTGCAGATAGCATATTACTGAAAGTATTAAGTCCTCTTAGTACATTTTTTTTTCGATCTTTTGAAATATGTATATATAGTTATATGTATCTATAATTTTTAATTTTAAATTTTTAAATTTGAAAAATTTGTCAAAATATGCAAAATAAACATAACAATTTTAAAATATGCACTCTCCTGCAAAATCTATCAAATATGCAAAAATATGCACATTCAAATTTTTGTATCCGATATCATGACACCGAGAAACGAATTTATTTTGCGCTCTGCAACATTTAACAATAATTAAAAAAAAGTATGCAAATGCTAGAAGTCCTTAAGCCTACATATACGCTTTCATATTATACGATCACGGCAAAATGCCGTCGCCGTGCCGTGTCGCAACCGTCTACTGTCAATACAGTATACGGCAGCCGGACGGCGCGATAAGCTTAGTGACGTACGTGACCAAATGCATGTTTTCACATTATACAATTTTATTCGTACGGCAGAATTCGATCAGACACGATCACTTAAATTTATAATTAAACTTACAGTAACATATTGTTTAAATAATGGCGGAATTCGATGTAGAATTTTTAATTACTCTCGTGCAAGAGAGACCAGTGTTGCTTATCTTTGAGTTTTTCATATAGTACATCAAAAGTAGCTCTTGACATACGAAAATAACTAAAAAACTTATTTTCATCATTCCGTAAGTCATTAAATAAATTATAAAATAATCTTACTTCCTTTCTCCGAGCATTAATAGGATGTACCCAAAAAATACGATTTTTTTGTTTTCTTTTGCGGCGACGATTGTATAACCATAATGCAATAATTTGTTTGTTATTCATTATAACAACACGCGACTTGTGTGTTCTTTTAAAACTAAACCTGTACAAAAGTATACTAAGTATAGAAACCGACGTCTGTGAAGTTGGCCCCTCCACTTTGTCCTATTGACTTCAAACCTTTACCAATATTTTGGAACTAATTTGGAACTTTACATTTATTATTTTGATAGTATGAAAACTAGAAGTATTTTGAAAGTATTCGGAATACTTTTGAAGTATTCTAAATAATGTATTTGGAATACAATTTATATAATATATTTGAATACAAATCCGGAATACTATTTTTTGTTAACATTCGAGTATTTATTCTAAATACTTTTAAAAACTATTTAACCCAAGTCTGTCTAAAATCCACTCGTAAAAATACTGGAGATATATTAGTCTAAAATTTAGACTCTAAATAATAAATAAGTCACTTTAAATTAGTTAGTGAAAAGTCTATCTTACTACACCAACGTTCTGCAAATGAATGGTCTTGCAAATTGTTATAGTTATAAAAATAACTCGGTATTAAAAATATATCATACTTATAAAACTACATGTATATTGAACCATTTAAATATAAATTCGTAAAAATAACACTTTATAGACTTATCCAATAATAATAGCCTGAATGTATTGTGTTCAAAATAGCATCAAATTTATGACAAGACAAGGAAAACCAATAATAATAATATGATTTATATTAATTTTATTTTATACAATGTAGTTTGTGTTCTAAAATATTGAAGTATACTTACTGTTATATTTTATACGTTCATAGATATTTAGTTAATTTTAATACAGTTTTCGTAAATTTCTAATTATATTGACAGTTTAAAATAGTAATGTTAAAGTTTAATGCCATATAAAGCTACGAGGAACCAAAAAATTTTCCTCATTGAATTGATAATGCCTGGGTGAAGGATATAACTTTTTTAAGTTGCTAATGGTTGTTTATATGTTGTAAATATTTATATGGATAGCAAAATTTTGACAACTACAAAAATTATGCTTCCTAGTTTCAAAATGTCAATTTTAGATACCCCGAAATCTCCCTCCTATGAGCATTGCAATTTATTAAGGGCACATATGGTCCGGAGTTTAAATATTATATTTCAATGGTAAAAAAAAAATGTCTGCTAATCATAAAGATATATTTTAAAATGTTTTATGGTATTATATAACATTTATAGATGCTAGTAATGCAAATTAATTTTTTTACCAAATTGAAAAACAGATTTCTAAAAAGAATATTTTAAGTATGTACTAAGAAATATAATTTTGAAATTTCAACCTTGCAATTTTTAGATTTGTTTTCTTTTAGTTAACTAATTTTCCTTTTTTAAGCATTAACTAATCTCACAATTTTAATTTATTATTACTATTTGTTTTTAAATCTGTAGCCTATATTAACTATAGGTGTTTCGGAAAACTAGATTCTAATTAATTTCAAATAAGATTCAAAATGTTGATGAATGTTTGAAGTCGATAGGACAAAGTGAGTAGTGGAAGGGGCTATATGGATTTGTATCCCCTCTGATCGAAAATCTCTTATTTCGAGAAAAGGGTGAAGTTCCAAATTATAAAAACTTGGTTTTAAATAGTTCCAAATTAGTTCCAAAATATTGGTGAAGGTTTGTAGTCGATAGGACAAAGTGGGGGAGGGTCAACTTCACGGACGTTAGAAACCGTACATAAATCATGTTTTACCGTACGTTCAAAACAGTATAATATATAAAGGGCCAATGATCCGGTTATTACTGTCCGGATTTTTGCCGTACGGACAAAACCGTGTAGTGTGAAACGAGCCTTTTACGCTTAAAACTATATTTTTCCAATAACTCGTCTACATAGTAATAACCGGAGTAACAATTTTTTCCTCGTTCAAAAGGACCGCAAAACATGACCGTATACATAACATTTTTATAGTGTCAAAAATGGAATACACGAATAATATGAAATCGGAATAAATATACGAATGAAAAATAGATAGTCAATACTATTATATTAGACAGTCTAAAAAATCCATATCATTATAGTTGAATGAATTTATCGACTATTCAGTACCCCAATATTAGAACTTAAAAACGTCCAATTTATTCCTATGCACACGAAAATATGTTCGACAGCTATAAAAAATGGTTATAAATGCTATTTACATAAATAGTTTTTTCCAATCATTAGCCACGGTAGCTATACAGACTATCGTACAATATAGTTGGAAGCGCTAAACGTATATAGTTGATATTACTGAACTAGAATAATAATGATTTTCAGTTAAAGTTGGACATCGCTAATAGTTTTAAAAAAATATAACTATTCCTAACCTTATTATTAGGTGATTGTTACCAACTTTTTTTTTTTTTTATTAGCTATTAGTATAAAACTATGATAGCTCAAAATTTATAAATTATACATTATACAACATAATACATTACATTTTTATATTATATAACAAAGCCAGCATCCAATATGAAGGAAATTACTAATTTAATGACAGTAGTGGATTTTATGTTTAGTATGAAGTAGATATTAAAGGGGATATTAAGAGTTTTAAATATGTTAACTAGAATAATGCGTTTGGTTTGAAGGGCAGGGCAGTCGAATAGAATATGGGATAAGTCGTAGATACATTCATTTAAGTGAAGTGTGCAGAATAGAGAATCATTAAGGCCAAGTTTGAAGGAGTGGCTGTGTAGAAGGTGATGTCCTATACGTAGCCTATTAAATTGTACAATGTATGGTCTATGTAAGTGTAAGTTATTAAACCCGGTTTTTTTTTAGGATATTAGGTGTAATATTTCTGTATATTGAGGCGAATTCTGCTGGTAGGTTGTTCCAGAGAGAGAGCCAAGTGTTGGTGGAGTGTTGTTTTAACAGAGGTGTGAAGTCCGAATGTGGGAGTAGGGAAAAAGAAGGAAAGATGAGATTGGATGAAGATTTAGCGAGATAGTCTGTAACTTCATTGCCATGTACACCTGTGTGACTAGGAACCCAAAGATAGTTGATGTTATAGTTTTTATGATTTAAGGTAAAAATAAGGAACTTGATGCGAAGGATAAGTGGAGACAAATGAGAGTTAAATGGATTTGAATTTAAGGCTTGGAAGCACGACATATAATCTGAGACAATTAAGTAATTTTTCGGGGGAAAATGTTGAATTAATTTTAAGGCTTCAGTGATGGCATAGCACTTAGCTGTAAAGGTAGAAGACGTAGGAGAAAGGTTACTGGTAAAAGAGAGTTGTAGATCAGGAATGTAGAACGCATATCCAGCGGAGAGAAGAGAGACTGATCCATTTGTATAAATTTTGGTGAAGTTAAAAAAGCATTCATTAAGAAAATTCGAAGCAGCTGCATTGACTGAGGAAGAAGACATAGATTTAAAATCATTAGATGATAAATCTAAAAATTGATTATCATAATGAATTTGAGGGGAAAAAATAAGGGAATCATAGGATTGCTAGTAAAGAGGGAGTTTAGTAGATTTAATAATATATTGGTGGAAATTTGAGATAGAATGAGCTATAATTGATAATACAGGCATAGATTTAGGAACATATCGTCAATTAAGATACAGTGAGTAATAAGTATCAAAAATACGGTGATCGCTATAGAATAATGTTTATCAAGAGAAATTTTCCGGCAAGCCGGCGGCATCTGATATTAAATGGAGGGCAAATAGATTCAACTTCCATAGCAAGGCAAAGAGTAGAACTAACGTAATCCATAATGTGTCTGATGCATGAGATTTGGAGTTTATTAATTTTTTTCCAATTAGAAAAGGAAGCTGACCCAAAAAGGAAGCAACCGTAATCGAGTTTGGAACGTATAATAGACAAATATATGGATAATAGACATGAAGGATGAGAGCCCCACCAAGTACCAGTTACAGATCGGAGGAAGTTGGACCATCGAGAGGCAAAAGCGGTGAGAAATGAAATATGTGGAACTCAGCGCAATTTGGAGTCGAGTGCGATATTTAAATAGGTAATACTGGGTACGAAAGGGATAACACAATTGTTAAGATATGAATTAAGATCGTTAAAATACCTACGACGAGTGAAAATGATCGATTTACATTTATCAGGGGCAACATCGAAAGACACTTTGATTAGGATATCATTTAGATCCAACAGGGCAGAATTGAGACTATCAATGGCGAGGTTTAGATGTTTATTAGAAGAGAATATAACTAAATCATCAGCGTAAATGAGACATTTATGACCGGACTGAGAAAGATGCTTTTCAACAATACTCATATAAACATTGAATAGAATTGGGCTAAGGCAGCTTCCCTGAAGAAGGCCAGTGAAAGTGGATCGAGTATTTGACGATCCGAAGGGAGAGGAGAAAACGAGTTTTCTGAATTGTTACCGACTTATACAGTAAAATTAACTGCTAGATATAGTTAGATAAGTTTAATATTCTATAATTAATGTTATTAACAATAGTACACATATAGGTTGAATTTATTTTAATGTAACCATCTCAATAATTAATACGAGCGATGTACAGGGTAGGCGAAAAAGAGACGTACGGGTTGATCAAGCTCACTGTAATGCCTATGATTATTTTGTTGATTTAATTTTCTTATTGAACCTAATCGATTTCAGGAGTTTTATCCAGAGGGGCACTATATCATAAGACAAGATACTTTGGGCGACAAGTTCTATATACTTAGCGAAGGGCGTGTAAAAGTCACAAAAACCAATAAAGGTAAGAAGACACATCATGCTACAACATAAAGATATAATCGTATACAATATAATATATATATATATATATATATATATATATATATATATATTATAAGTACATTCCTTTAACAGAAACCTATATATTTATGTACGACGATTACTTAATATATAAACTATATTAGAGGCATCTGGTCATTAACCACGATTTTGTCAATTTTACTGAAGTTATTTATAAAGGGGTGGATTTCCTAGATGAAATTAAAAAATAAAATTCTTGGAAAAAATTTATTTGGTGTCGAGTAATCAAGCCAAGAGCAACGGTACACCTATATACTGCTATAGCAGTCATGCAGTAGCATCTTCGAAAACTATTGTTAATACTGTAAAAGTTTTTTTTGGAAAATCTTCATAAAAAATGTAATGGTTTTCAGGTGAAGACGAAGAAGAGGAGTTTGGGGTGTTAGAACAAGGAGAGTTTTTCGGAGAAGTAGCTCTGTTAAAAAAAGACAAGAGGACCGCGAATGTCGTGGCCATGCACCCTGGAGCTGAATGTCTGACGCTCGACAGAGAGTTAGTATAATAATAAACTATTGATTGTTTATAATACCGACATAAAAAATATAAATATGGTTCAATAAAAATAATATTATAATCAACAATTATAATTAATTTAATTTGTTGATATTATTAAAGCATTCAAAAGCGTGATTTCTTTTAGATACATATTAATATTAAAATGTTCAATTGGGTATCATAATAAGATTTAAATAATATTCTGAACACTTACTAATACGTTAACACGTCTGATCGAAATTGCACGCTATAAATCTGAACTGTGTCGAAAAATTTAGGTAAGTAATATATGCCCTTAGAGTGGCCAAAAACTCAGAAATGTAGGGTAGGCGGCAGATTTAGGGGAGTTTAATTCGCCAACGTTTTAGTACAAAGTTTTCATGATATTAATTATTAACGTTTCTTGCGTATTAGGTTAATCTAACAGCTCTCAAACATATTTGATTACCCCCAAAGATGGGCATTAACTAGTTAAAAAGTTCAAGTTAATTTTTTTTAACTTTTTATCTTAACTAGTTAGTTTATTTTCTAATAAACTTTTTAACTTAACTAGTTTAATTGGCAGTTGAAATAGCTTAGATTTTTACAGTTGATTTAAAAAGAATCTATCAAGTTAAAAATTGTTGAAATGTTTCGTTTATACGTAAATATTAATATAAAAATGAAATAATCATATAAAGTAAAATAGTCGCATACACATCAGATGTCACATTAGATTTTGTAGGTTAAGAGCCCACCTTTGGGTATTGGGTTTCGGCCATGGCTATAAAGTGTTATATATAAATAATTTTAACTATAAAGATAAATAAATACGGTAGTGAGTGGCTCCTTGATGTACAACAGGGGTGTTCAACTCGCTGCTCACCCTATCATAATGTGCAGCCTACCATCACATTTGAAATTTAGCATGTATACTTTCTACTTGTTATTTCGATAAAATTATAACGGCTAAACCATACTTTCGGAAACATGCGATAAGATAAATTACCTACCTAAATATAAATGTTGGCTGTTGCCTGTTCGTAATCGATTGTGGAACGAGCATATTAATCGTTTATGTGTAAAAGTTTCAATTTCATACATTTTCTTTGTAATATTTATATGATATGTAGGTGAGTAAAAAACGTAAAATCTCGGATGAAAGTCCAATAATTATTTTTTTAATCAAGTTAAAGAAAAGGCTGTATGTTTAATTTTTCAAAAATCAATAGCAGTGATGAAAGAGTATAATTTAAAACAACATTATGGTACCAAAAATGCAGCAAAGTATGATATGATACAAGTACAACTTCAAATTGATAAGCTTGCATCGTTAATGACAAATATACGTTGTCAGTCTTTAAGTTTAAAAAAATATCATAAAGACTCAGAAGCCAGTGTCATAGTTATCATAGTACAAAAAAATTGCTGCTAAAGTCGTTCATTGATAGTGAGTTTGTAAAAGAGTGCATGGAGGCGGCCTCAGAAATTTTATGTCCAGCATAAAAACAAATTTTTTCCAAATTGAGTTTATCAGGAATAACTGTAACAAGGCGTGAACTAGGAACTGATATTGAGAGTACCCTAAAAGAACAAATTTATAAATTTATTTTTTATTTGCTGGCCCTTAACGAAAACAGATACAAATTTGTCAGATACTACTCAATAAGCAATTTTTGTTCGGGGTATTGATTCTAATTTTAATATCATTGAAGAATTAGCTGCACTCTATCCAATGAAAGGCACAACAAAAAGTTGTGATGTTTTTAATGCATTAAAAGCGACAAAACCGTTTGGACATCAAATTAAGTAATCTTTCTGGAGTTATAACAGATATAGCTTCATCAATGGTTGGAAAAAATTAAGAGCTCGTTGCGTTAATTAAAAAAGAAATTAGTACATGTGGTGCTTTATAACTAATTCAATCATATCACTGCATTATATACCAAGAAAATATATGAGGAAAATCTGTTGGTTTTCAAAATATTATGAAAGATATAAAAATAGTAAATTTTATTATATCAAGTACATTAAATCATAAAGAATTTAAAAACCTTTTAAGTGAAATAAATGCTGAATAAGGTGATGTAATCTATTTTACAGATGTTCGTTGTCTCAGTAGAGGAAAAGTCTTAAAAAGAATTTTTGACTTAAAAAACAAAATTTTTAAATTTGATGCAAGTAAAAAAAAAATATTTGAACAACTTAATCATTCAGAATGAAAAAAATGATTTTGCCTATCTCACGGATATTACTTGCACAGGGGCGCCATTTCAATTTTTTTTTAAGGGGGTGCAAGCAATTAAAGAGGCAAAATTTTTTCCCACCACCAGGCCAACATTTATGATTAGCAGTGATTACTGATCAGCCATGGTACATGCACAACATTAAAGATTGGAAAACTGAAGGCTAAAGTGGCAAGGCCATGTATCAGTGACGCCTAGGCCAATAATTGAAGATGAAAAATAATCAGGTTGTGCGAGTGCACACTCTACTCCCCTCCAAATGGCGCCCCTGTACTTGCATTTGAATGAGTTAAATTTACGCTTGCAACATCAAAGCCAATTAATTCATGACCATATTAAATCTTTCGAAAATAAACTTTTGCGTTGGGAAATCCAGCTAAAAAAAAATTACACGATTCACTTACCATGTTTGTCAAAATACAATGTTACTTCAACGGAAAAATACGTAGAAGTAATTTCAAATTAAAATTTCAGTTTGATTCGAGGTTCTTAGATTTCAAAGCTAATGAAAAGTTTTTTAATTTGTCTTTAATTTCATTTTCATTATCAATTGACGATTTCCCAGAAAATATGAAAATAGAGATCATTGATTTACAGAACAATAAAATAATAAATGAAAAGTACAATAACGTTGAACTTTCAATTTTTATTCAAAATATATTGACACGGAGACCTATCCTAATCTTCGAAACAACAAGATATCTCTTTTTAACATTGTGAACATATTTTTTCACGAATGAAAATTATGAAATCGAAGACTAAAACTCAGTTAACTGATATTCACTTAGAAAATTCACTCAGAATTGCATCGTCTCAGATACAAGCAAATATAGAAAAATTAGTGGAAAACAATGTCAGTTATCACATTAAAAATAAAATAAAATTTTGTAATTAAAAAAAAAAAAAAATGTTTATCTATTTATGTTTTAATAATAATAATAATTTGTAATTTAAAATGAATCATGAAAATTGTAGTAATAAAATTGAATTTTTGTATAAAATATATGTTTTCATACTACTAATTAAAAAAAGTAGATTACCTTTTTTTTAAACTGAATTAAGTTAATATTTTTTTCCTTATTAACTTTTAACTTATCGAATTAAATTTATGTTAACTGTTAACTTTTAACTTATTGATCTTGTATTCTTTTAACTTAACTTAATTCGAATTAATTATTTTCATTAACCTCCACACCTTTGATTACGCCTATCGTATCTATTATGTCTGTACATGTGTCGGGTTCGACTTGCAGCGAATATTTTAAAACTCGAACGATAATAATAGGACGAACCGATAACGAAACGACAAATAAATATTTTACCATGGTTGAAAATGACGCCACTTTTTATGTTATATCCGTTATAGTAAAACGGTGGTTCCCAACCTATGGGCCACGGTCCACAAGTGGGCCGTGAGCAGGTGGTACTGGGACGTGAACCATATTTTATTAACATTACTTACATATATTTTTAAAATATTAAATATCAGCAAGTGAAAAATATTCGTTAATTGAACTCTCATGTGATCAGACTCTAAACTCGTTTTTTAAAACTACACCATTATTACCATTATACTTAAATATTCGGCGAGACTTTCCAGAAATTTCTAAAATTTTACTTAGAAATTTGGTGGGCTATATTTCGACAACCTGTGTGTCTGTGTGAACGAGCTTTTTCTACTTTTTAAAAAATAAATGTAAGAATAAATTGAATTTTAAGTGATTTAAGGCTAAAACTTTTCATTTTTAATCCAGATATTGATTCTCTCATGGGGAACAATCCAAAATTACATTAAATTGTTTAACTCTTGAATAATCTAGTTCAATGAAGTTCTATTTTTTGATAAACAATTGTTTTTTTAATAAATAAATTGTAATAACTGACGTATGTGCACATTATACATATATAACTATTGGTGGGCCTCAAACATGTACTATGAAATTGGTGGTCCGCACTACTAAAAAATTTGGGAACCGCTGCGTTATACCATTACGTTTTACCTATGTCGTGCGTTATGTCGTGTGTGTTCGTACTTCAATCCAAAAAATATAATAGCTATTAATAACCTACGAAATCAACAATTGTACTATCATATTTATAATATTAAATGGTTTGTAGAAAGCATAAACATGAAATTATATATATACAGATCTCAAATTAAAACAATATTCAATCGTAATTAAAACCAAACACATTTACATTCACACACACACACACACCCCACTTAGTCAATCTCCGATTTTTTTTTCTTTTACATAAGTTTGGTTTTCCACCTACAGTTACTCTTTTAAATTTTTTATGCCTTTTGAATACAAAATAATCAAATGAATTACAAATTGTGTTATTACAGGCCTTTCGTGCACTATATCGGAAATTTAGACGAATTAAAAAATAAAAAATATACCGAACTGCCGCGAAAACCGTCAGTCGAAGCAACATCAGTGGAAAGTAAGGATAACATATTTTTTTCATACCGATTATTAATTTTTAATCGTATATAATTGGATACGACCATAGTTAGTATGTAGTATAAAGCGAATCATATTATCGAAGTTTGATTTGTACATTACCCTGATTAACTTAAATAAGTTATTAATCTAGATCGAGTCTTCGATGATAAATTATTTTATAGTTTGAAAATATTTATTCGTCAACACAATATTATCTCCGAAATGTCAAATATATATTGTATGATCATATAGCATATGTTTAGTATTATAGTAAATTATTTTTGGGTTTTTTACCAATCGGAAATTTAACGAAACGTGAACAAAACGAAATATTTACCATACATTTATCGAGACTCATTATACTACTTAATCAGGCGCGTACAAAAAAAAAATTTGGAGAGGTTTTTAGGTTATAGGTTTATTTATTTTTAACTTATACCTATAATTTATATACCACTTTTACTATATAAAACAATTTAATAAATTTCCTGAATTTTGGTGGGGGGAGTTGAACCCTAAAAACCCCCTTGTGTACATGTTTGTACTTATCGTAGTGCATAATATCATGTATAATTTCTAGAAATATTTTACCCGGAACTATTCCGCGTGGAGCTGACGGACTTCGAAACTGTGGCTACGATAGGTGTGGGCGGCTTCGGCCGGGTCGACTTGGTTTGCTTGAAGCTCGACCGGAATCGATCATACGCAATGAAAAAACTGAAAAAAAAACAAATAGTCGACATGCAGCAACAGGAGCATGTGTATAACGAGAAAAGCATTTTGGAATCGTGTACCAGCCCGTTTATCAGCAAGTGAGTTTTACATTATACTAAGTGCCGCGAACGTCGACCATTAAAAATATACTATATTGAAACGTATGTTATCAAAACGCGCATGTACCAATATTAGAATACACATCCGTCTTGAAAGGAACCTGCACACAATTTTGGCCACATTTGAAAATCGGCTGGGTAGGTGTTATTTTTTAGGAATTATGTTACTTTAATGTTATACTAATTACTAAACAGACTTCAATAAAACACTAAAAATATTGTATTCAACAATACCGTAAACAGAATATTCTCTGCGATTTCCTTAATAACTGTATTATCGGCGGGAATGGTTTAAAAAATTAATTTTGTATCCACCTAGAAAAGGACCTCCCGGCGCATACTAATTGGATCCCATGATTCAGATTGTTCACTAATTAGGTCCCGTGTAAAATAGCCTACTGTACGAGTTGGGTCCCATTAAATCATTTTCCTTCCCATTTTTACAGACTTAGTACTGTCTACAATAACATCTATAGTGACTACAGATATGGTAAAAAATGTTTTTTTTTTTCTAATTTTTTAAATCGTTTTTAATCCTTCGTCGTCCATCTAATTTTTAATGATTAATAATATTAATAATAATTCATCAATTATTATTTCAATGGCAGAAAATACCTAATCTAAAATATTATTTTCATAATGTATTTTACTACGATAAGATATCATTTTATTGCCAGAAAGTACGTCCTTAATCCATATTCGTACTTTATAATATTACTAATACGTGGACTGTGGACCCAATTCAAACGCATCATTTGATACGCTCGGACCCAATTCAGACAAAACATTTTATTCATACGGACCCAATTCGTACAAAATGTATAACTAGTATTATTTTCGGACCCAACTCAGATGCAGCCGGACCTCCACACGCCACTGGTATATGCGAAGCCACCAGCAGAGCATCTTCAACGACAATTTTTATTTTTCGAGTATATTTCACTAGTGCTCTTGATTTGATATGGATAATACCCGGGTACCCAGATACCAATTTATCCGAGTAATACCCGATTTTGTGGGTGATCAACGTTTTCGGGTAATGGGTAACCATTACCTTAAATGTTCGGATACCCGATAGTTTTTAATACACGTGAATGGTCAAGTTATGACCTAGTTGATAAGAGGAAATTAGTATTATATTATAGTAATACAATTATACGAATGAGAAATATTTCCTCTTTTAATTTAACAAAATTATAGGTTAAAAATAAAATGTTTAGTTGGTAATGAGTATAAAAACCATAACGGGTACCCGAAATTTTGCAAATCAGGTAATACCCGTAATACCAAGGAACTTGGGTACTCGGGTATCAAGACCACTTTATTTTACGCTCCGAACGAAAATTTAACAATCGAATCGTTTTTTCTTCATATTCTTGTGCCAGTCTTTTTGATTTCTAAACAAACCAAACATAACTAATTTAAACGGCACCGAGGACAATTATCTAAGTCTAGTCTATCTAGACATCTAGACTAGATCGAGAACTACGGCAATCTTTATCTCTACCATCTATGTACAGACGTGGTGTTCATACATTATACATACAATCACCAATGATAATATACGTACTTAAAACACATTAAACGGTACTGGATTCATTAAGTATGGATTCGGCGATTGCGATTTAGAATTAAAATTAAACCCGCGGACAACCCTGCTAATAATTTTTGGTTATTTGAATCCCACGAACATTTTTCAGTTGTACGAGTTGAGCCCAGGGCCAGCGAGAGGATGGGGTAGCAAGGGCTAGAGCCTCTAAGAGGTCCCGTCATCTCAGCCATTATTCACAAAATTATATTAAAATCAAAATTAAAAAAAAAAACGTATTAATATTAATTTATTGATTTATTAAATCAAAATCAAAATTATAATCTCATTCACTGTAGCATGAGATGCAAATTTCAATTTTTTTACTATTCCAAAGTATATACAAGGAGTATATATATCTTGGCCAAATAAGTGTAAGGGGGCCTGGAACCGATTAGACATGGGACCCTCAAAAGTTTTCGTCGGCTCTGGTTAAGCCACATAATTATTATTATTGGCTATAAATTGTGAAAATCATAAGATGTTTGAACATTACACAATATTTTTACATTAACCAACGCATCGTCGGAAAAGTCCTAAAAGAATATAAAATTCTCGTCATTTTTGATATAATGTTCATAAGTTTAAACAAATTTTAAGTTTCACGTGCACTTTTTAAATACCTCCAATAGCCTTTATTTGAATACAATCATTAATGTCTTGTCAATTAAATACTTTTTCGTTATTATGCTTTATTGTTGTGTTTATTAATTCAAACGAATTAAAAAATATACCGAATTTAATTCAAATACTAATAGTATTGTTTCCCGTAGGCTTTACCGTACGTACAAGGACAACAGATACGTGTACATGCTGATGGAAGCATGTTTGGGTGGCGAGGTGTGGACCTTCCTACGAGATCGCAGATGTTTCGACGACAACGCTGCGTGTTTCGTAATAGCGTGCGTAGTGGAGGCACTAGACTACTTGCACAGCGTGGACGTCGTATACAGGGACTTGAAACCGGAAAACCTATTGCTCGACAACCAGGGCTTCGTAAAAGTGGTCAGTACTTGGCTTTCGGACCATATACCGACGACCCTTCACGTCGAATTCGGGGGAGGAGCGAATGTATATATAATATCAGAGTTAGCGAACTTTTTACGCATCAAAAATGCTGTGATTAAAAAATGGTTAGATTAAATAATTCAGCTATTTCAATATCATAGATGAGTTTATGGCACCACGATAGGGATGCTCTTTCACCCCTCTGGATTTAAAAAAAAAGAATAAAATTTAAAAATGTAGGATAGAAGCCATTATTACCATTATCGGATATTCTAGTAGCATTACTTTGTAGCCGTCAAAAAAAACGTAGACAATTTCGTATTATCATACAATTTGAAAATGTATTTAACTTAAATAATTTAAGCATGATTAAAAATCTGCGTATACACTATACATAGTGCTACTCCTTGACAAAATTCTTGACGGCGCCTATGCGTGAGTTTTTATCTCAATTTTTCCAAATGCCACTTGTGCTCGCTAACCCTGTGGTATGTCAATACTATATGCTTTAGATTTCTATGAAAATCTGTTGTGCAATTGTATTCAATTTGTTATTCTATTACTTTTATACTTCATAACGATTATACATTTGTTGAGACAAATTTATAAAATTTAATTCGTTTTAGATTACAAAATGTCTATTACTTCAATTATTAAGATCATTGATAAAAATCTAACGCTCTGGCGGGCAGTTGCTGTCTAAATCCGTGATAATGACTTGGTTATTGTACAGTTACCCTTTCCTCCCTATGAATATTCTTACGCCAAAACCGCTGTTTAACTCCTTCGTCTCACAACCACCAATAACTTAATCCCTACTTCCGTCAGTCTTAACCTAGCTTTGTTTTGTACTGCACTGCATAGGTGGACTTCGGTTTCGCTAAAAGGCTACAACCGCGGGGCAAAAAGACGTGGACGTTCTGCGGCACACCCGAATACGTGGCTCCAGAAGTCGTGCTGAACAAGGGTCATGACCGAGCCGTGGATTTTTGGGCTCTGGGAATACTGGTATACGAGCTGCTAGCAGGAATGTAAGCTATGATGACCAATTCAGTAGAATATGATCAACGTGATCGACATAGTAACTATAATATAGCGATGGTTGATGGATGTAGACGTGAAGACGGAATTTAACGGGATTTGTAGCGGATTGTGAAGATCGACATAATTTAAACGGTTTCTGGAGGGGGAGGGAATGGTTTGGAGGCAGGTATTGGCGGTTTTGATAAAATATTGAGAGCGGGGCTATTTTTAATTAGATGCCCCACCCCATAATTACATATATCAAATAAAGAATACAATTTGTTTATGGTTCTATTATAAATGACATAACTTGCATTTTTTATTGCATATATTTAAATTTAAATTTAAATTTTATTGGAATATAAAATAAAGTAAAAAGTTCGATTTGAAAAAACCCAATCAAACCTAATTAGCTTAACCTTATTAATTCTAGTTCTAGGTTTGTATTTTTTGATAACGTATATTCGTTTATTATAAATTCAATGTTTCATGCTGTTGCAAAAAAAAAATAAAAATTCAAAAAAAAATAAAATAAAATAAATTATAATGAAAATAATACGATGTCCAAAACATAACAGTTGACATAAAAAATCCAAGGGGGGGGAGGGCGAGTTTCCCCTTATATCTCCTAAAAACTAGTTGGATGAAGATGAATTAATGTTTTCTTTTTTTTGAGTTGCCTACATTTATTCAGATTCGTGGAAAAATGCATTACCAACAAGATTATTTATAAACATTAAACATGTATCCAATTAAAAACCGCACCGTAATCGATTTTTCATAGCTATATGCATGTCAATACGAGTAATATATAATACATATATGTATTATAATTATGAGTTATTTGTTAACTCGAACCCTTTTTATTATTTTAACCATAATTTCTAAAAAAATATTCAATGAATATATTAACTATGAAGTATATATTACAAAATCAAAATATATTTTAATTGTGTAAAACAGTTACAACAACAGTGGATTGTTAATTATTCGAGTTAATTGGATCCAAGTGAGCGCAGATAATCAAACAATAATTAAAAATCATAGGTCTCAAGTTTTTCTAATATTTTGATTTATGTTTAATATGCATTACAAAATGCATAGTTTTTTTTTTGAATCTATTAAAAATCAAAATTATACTCGATCGTGTTTACGATCAAACCACAGACTGACTATATTTTCATATATTCTGTGTCTCACTAAATGTATTACCTATTATTATCTACATTTGAGTGAGCCATAATATATAAATGACAATCTCGAATTTCGTTAAGTCGCGTCCAGACTATACGACCAAAGGTACCGAAGGCACATGTGACGACCTAATTCGGTGATGTTGGTTTAGGTGTAGACAGCGCGATCGAACGAACAACAACGGCAAATGTGCCTTCGGTTGCCTTCGCTCGGGGAACGGTACATCAAAGAAATTCGTTATCAGTTTAGACACGATTTGTTGATATTTTGGTCTTCGTCATCATTTGGTCCGATTGGATATATAAAATAAATTGTGTGCGTTCGCAGTTTAAACCAGCGAAGGCTTCCAAACGCGGACCGACGAATTCGGAATGAGTTTAGACAGTATGCCAATGTTTTCACATCTAAACACAGCCAATGCTGAATGTAGAGACATTGGCGTTCGGTTGCCTTGGTCGTGTAGTCTGGACGCAGCTTAATACGAACGAGAAATCTGAATTCCATAAATAAATTTGTATACAAATTTCGTAGTACGGATAATTAAAGTGCAGATAATTGACGCTCTACATAAATAAAGTAATCTATATATTATACATATAATTATTAGAAATTATTGGAATGATTAATGTTAACTGGAAGACTGGAACAGTAACTTAAATATACGTTGCATAAAAACTAATAATATTATATATTATATACTAAATATAAATTATACAGCTATTTACAATAAATATTCAAGAATTTTTTAATTATATCTGACTGGCTATGTTACCATGATATCGTATCCAGTGTCGGTCTAGCTTATGAATTTGGAAAAAATGGCAAAAAATTTACAATGGGCCCCTAAACCACATAATATCGGAATAAGATTTAATAAATATCTAATAAAAATGGTTTTTCTCGATACCCTCGAACTCTAATACAAATTTTAATTTATTTTTAATTTTATATTTTTCCAATGCCAATATTTCGAATTATCATTGTGTTCGTGTATGTAATTGTTAACTATTAACAGCACTCATCTTAATTTTTCAAAGTATTTATATTTGTTCGATTTTGATCAAGAGAACAAAATTGTACAAATTATAGCGTTTATACCTAGTTCTATTAAATGTGGTCAACAATATTTCAAAATTAAGAATAACTTAATTTTAATCGAATTCAGGAAAATAATTACTATGATTTTTCATGTTAGCGTGGTTGCTTTGAGCCTAGGGGCGGATTTAGGAGAGATTCAGGAAATCGGCTGATCCACAATTAATATTTGTTGACAAAATTGATCTCTTGAAGAATTCTTATATTTTTTTTGTGTGCCGATTATTATTTGAAGTTAAAACTAAACTGGCTAATTCCCCCTTCCAAAAGATGCCACTGGTTTAATTGTATAATAAAATAAAACATATCTATATCAGACCCAATGTAATCGGGCGTTACCACGAGGCGTTAATCACGACAGTCAACCACGCTTTCCTGAAATACACTTCTGTATGAACGCATAATCGTTAAACTTGCCTTCGTGAGGAACGGTCCACGACCCATTAGATAGATCAAACGTGTTTGATTTTCAGTCGTGATATACCGTTCGTGAAGCTAAGATGTGATCACAACAACGTGGAATTATTAAGTTTAATGACAGTGAAACTACGCGTTTTTTGGAGTTATATTCGATGGAAAAGGTGTTATATGACCCAAGTTTGGAGGAATACCGTGATAAAGATTTATGTAAATCAACAAAATTTCTTCGCTGTATCCATTCTCTAACCCAAAAATGTCTTTTTTTTCGTTTTTTTGTAATTGTGACCTGTAAGCGCTTCATCTCTTGCTAATATAGTAGTAAAAAACGAACTTAAAACAGCAAAAATTTCAACAACCAGATCATTCATGGTCGATGTTTCGATAGTGACTAAAAAAAGTCGAAACACGAGGTATGAATGGCACGAACCCAAAATCATGTGAACGTTTCATCAATTCACACTTTCGTGAGTGTCTCGAACGAAAGTTCACTAGCGTGGTTGACTGTCGTGATTAACGCCTCGTGAGACGCCCCATAAGATTCCGTAAAATAAGATAAATGTTTACAATGATAATTATAAATAAACTTAATACGTTCAATGCAGTAGCGGTACGTGAATAAAATTTACGGAGAGACTTAATTTTTGAGTAACTATTGGTTATTATTAAATTTTTGATAGCAAATTATTCTACTTTATTCTAAGTTTTTAATTTAAACAAGATACTGAAAAATTAATTGTTCATAGTTTCTTGTATACAATATTGTGATAGGTTTATATATATATATATATTAGGTATATAGGAAATTTAATTCAAACTTTAATTAATTAATATTTATTTTATAGATATAGATTTCATAGATATAAATTAAAACTGATTAACAAATGAATATAAATATTAATATGATTAATATTAATATTAATCTGAAATGGTATGTTTAATACGAATTTTTCCCAAAAGATGAAATTGTTCTTGATTTTTCAAGTATGTTTTCGAAATAGCATGTTTTTCTGCTTTTCTTATTATATTTTCTATAGTTGATATTCCATTCTTTTCGCCTCGAAAAAATACACGAATGAAACAAAAAAAGTTTGTTGCGTTAATTACAACCACTAAGCTACGTACATTTATCATACCAACTACTTTGAAATGTACGGCTAAATTTTCCATCTTTATATTCAATCAATAAATATGAAGTCGGCTTTTTGTTTTTTAATTTACATTTTTCATCATATGTAAATAAATGAAAATCATTGTTTAATAATTCATCTAATGTACAATGTTTTAATTCCATTATTTCAATATTAAATTAAAAACGCTACAAGATTTAATGTACAAGATAACCCACTACACAAATATACGCAAAGAATAACGTGTCAGAGACTAGTCTCCCGGACTCCGTACAGCAGTGGTTCCCAAGCTCTTCTATTCTACGCCCCCTTTATATATTTTCAAAAATCTCGCGCCCCCCCCCTTTTTAAATTGAAAAAAAATTGATCATATTTTTTTGTGTTCTTTAAAAATAAACTTTAAATTATTCGGAATGACTACTTTTTTATTGATGTTAATAATAATAATAATAATAATGGTAAATAAAAAAATACATAATGAAATTAATAAATAATGTTAATGCTGACAACACTTTTCCTTGGACAGTTTTTTTATGTTCGGCTCAATATTTGATAATGAACACCTTAAGTCAGATGCGACATCTAAACGATTTCTATGTTTGTTTTTTATAACTGCCATGCTGGAGAACCCAGATTCGCACAAATATGTAGATGAAAATTGTACAAGGACTTTTAAAGTTTCATTTGAAATTTCAGGATAAATAGGTTGGTATTTTACCCAAAATTCTTCCAAAGAGCTACCACTGTTAAAATCAATTTTCGCCCGTGAATCGTTCTTCAGCTCGATTGCCTGTTCTTGAATTATATCTGGCAATGTGTCTACGTTAGTACTGAATGGAGAACTTGTTAACATATATTGCCAACTTTTGTTCGAAAAATTTGGAAAATATCGAGTGAATTCATCAGTCAAACTGTCGAGATGTTTAATCACTATATCTTTCAATTCAGTAGGACAAAATGGTTCTTCTTCATCAGAGAGAAGTTCGTTCAATCGACGGAAAGACAAAAAATTAGGAGTCTCTTTGTTTACTCGGCGTTTCCACAGTTGTATCTTTTCTAGAAATGAGTTGATAGAATCGTTCGCGATTATGACGTTTATATTCCTCCCTTGTAATTTGAGATTTAGGTTATTAATAGTCTCAAAAAAATCTGCTAGATATGCGAAGTAGAAT